ATGAAGATGTTCATTATGTGCTAACTCAAAATACGATGAGAAGTCTTTTTCTTATGCAATGTTTAGTAGAAGCTTCAACTTTTGACAAAAATATATTTCTTGGGTCCGTTTGATTACCATTTTTGTTTCCAATTTTTATTTTTAGTTTACATTGTTTGTTTAATAATTGAAAACTGAAAACAACTACTAAACAAGTTATGGGTTTTCAATTTTCAGATTTCTAAAAAAATAATCAAAACAAAAGTTGAAAACTGAAAACGAAATAATTATTAAACGCTTCTTTAGAAACATGCATTAAATTCATAATCTAAACTAAGATTTTCTTTTTGTTCCTTCACTTTGATTCGCACAGGCTACAGAAGCAATTGAAAGCATGATTCTTGATTTGTCGAAGTCAGGAGAGGTATGCTTAAATGCTGAAACTTATGTCAGTATGACCTGATTAAGACTTCTCAAGATCAGTCATAATCCTTACGGCAAACGACACCTGATTGGGCACTTAAAGTTTCTTTCTTGTGAGTTGAGGTGTATCTCTTGGTTTGGATTCCCTTTAAGTCTTTGCCATCCAACTTTGAGTTCAAAAATCTTGTTGACCTTGACATACGATATAGTGTCATTGACAGACTTTGGGAAGGAACCCTGGTGCGTACAATCATTGTTTACATGTATATGTTTCTTTTAAATGATTGGGTTATGAGATGCCTTATTAAGTAATGTAAGTTTTCCTGAACATTTTAACAGACACTAGAAAAGTTGAAATTCATCAATTTAAGTAATTGTCGATACCTTAATGAAACCCCTGACTTCTCAAAGGTACCAAATCTTGAGAAGATATTTCTTGAATATTGTACAAGTTTAGTTGAGGTTCACCCTTCTATTTCAACTCTTACAAACCTTGTTTTATCCGAGTCAAAAATTAAAGAATTGCCCTCGTCAATTAATAATCTCACGGGGTTGAGTTCTTTGGACCTAAGATATTGCAAGGAACTTAAGGGTGTGTTTGTTTGGGCTTATTAGGTTTCACTAGATTAGACTGGCTTACTAGTCCGTGTTTGGTTTGATCTGGGACTATCTTTAATGGGATTAAGTCGGACTCGTTCCGACTAAAGGCTTCGCTACCTCGTCTTAGCTAGGACCCCCAAAAATGATGGGATTGCTAATCCTGGCTCTCTAATATCCGCATCGTTTGCGATCTGCAAGCATGTGTCGCCAAATCCTACCGTCTCGCTGATCTCCATCATCCCGCAAACCCATTACCAAATCTCGCCGATCTCCTTCGTCTCACGAACCCAACTTCCTCTTTGCTTCAAATTGATTTCTCTCCCTCTTATGAAACCCAACGAACCCACAGCCCAGATTTCCCTATTTGCTTCAAGGAGGAATACCTAGCTGGATTTGCTTTGGATTTAATCCAACGCCAATAACTGATTTGTAATCTCAAAGAACTGAAATTTAAATATAAAAATAAATTCAGAGTTTCGTACTTTGAAGCACAGAGCAACGTAATTTGAGTGAAAAGGGAGAAAAAAGAGAAAGTGGGGAGGGTGACAGTGGGACGAAGAAACAGAGAGTAAAAGAGGGAAAGGGCAGGAAGAAAATGGGCGGAGAAAAAGAGAGGTTATGAGAGAGGATGAAGAGTATAAAAGAATAAATAAATATATTAATATTAAAATATTAATAGATATTGGTTAAATAATATAATATTAAAGTTTTGTTAATTATCCTACTTTTTAGTCCGACACTATACCAAACACTTCATTAAGTTAATTCAGCTTAGTCTATTCTAAGCCAGTCCATCTTAATCCCTAAAGTTAGTACAGCCCGAGATAGTCCGGTACAACAAACGTACCCTAAGAGTTCCAAGCTTCAGTTGCATGAAATCTCTCAAAATCCTTTCAACTTTCTGGCTGCTCGAATCTTGAGATGTTTCGAGAGATTTTAGAAGTTATGGAGGAACTATCAGAGCTTAGTTTATCCGAGTCAAAAATTAAAGAACTGCCCTCGTCAATTAATAATCTCACGGGGTTGAGTTATTTAGACCTAAGACATTGCAAGGAACTTAAGAGTCTTCCAAGCTTCAATCGTATGAAATCTCTCAAAATCCTTTAAACTTTCTGGCTGCTCGAATCTTGAGATTTTTCAGAGATTTTAGATGTTATGGAGAGAATATCAAAGCTTAGTTTATTTGAGTAAAAAATTTAAAAACTGCCCTTGTCAATTGGTAATCTCACGGGGTTGTGTTATTTGAAGCTAAAAGGTTGCAATCAACTTAAGAGTCTTTCAAGCAGCATTTTTATGAAATCTCTTAAAATCCTTAATCTTTGTAGTTGCTCGAGTCTTGAGATACTTTTAGAGATTTTAGAAGTTACAGAGGAACTATCAAAGCTTAATTTATCTAGCTTAAAAATTAAAAAATTGCCTCGTTAATTAATAATCTCATGGGATTGCGTTATTTGATCCTAGAAAATTGCAAGGAATTAAGGCCATCTCTAACCGATTCGGCCAGAGGGCCATATGGCTAAAAATAGCCCAAAATGACACAAAAACCGTCTCAAACCAAGGGCTAGGCCAAAAACACCAAATTAGGCCAACCTACTGGCCTAAATAAACCAGCTAGCCAGCTCGGGGCCTACCCAAAATTGAAATGCCAATGATTACTGGAGTCAGCATACGCCAGCTAGCAATGGCTAGCTGGAGTCATGCTAACCCCAGTAGCCGTTGGATTTGATTTTTTTTTATCCGGATAATTTTTTTTTAAAAGTAATAAAAAAATTCCAATTTTTTTCCCATAAATACCTAAGTCATTCATACACCATTACTCACATAATTTTCACCATTCCACACTATCTTATTTCATTCTATTTCAATTCTTCACATTCTATTCTCTTAACTTTTCCAATAAGCTTTCCTTCAATTTTTTTCAATAATTTTCAAATGGCCACATCTACAATGATGATAGGAAAAAGAGGGAAATTATGGCCCGACGGGAGTTGTTTACATCCGACTATACCCCTACAATGGCGGATGATGATGATAATGATGATTATAGTCTTTAAATTTAAGTTGTTGTAGTCTTTAATATTTAAATTGTAGTTTTTAAATTTAAGTTGTATTTTTTAAATTTAAGTTGTTGTAGTATTTAAATTGAAATAATAAATTATTTGGCCTATGACCTTTTGGTCTCCTCGGTTGGAGATGATTTTTCATCACAGTGCTATGTTTGCCCTATGACCTTTTGGCCCCCTCGGTTGGAGATGATATGAAATATGACTTGACATTGTTTATTAAAATATACTTTCTTGGAGGGCTATAGAGCTAAGGCCATCTCCAACCGAGGGCTGGCCAGAGGGCTTGTTTTAGCCCTCTGACCCTCTAAGATATTAATATTTTAATGAACAGTACATGGCCATAGGGCTTGTTTTAGCTCTGTCACAAAAAATCGAGGGCTATAGGGCTAAGGCCATCTCCAACCGAGGGCCAAAGGGCCATATGGCTCGTTTTAGCTCTGTCACAAAAAACCGTCTCCAACCAAGGGTCAAAGGGCCAAACATAATTTATTATTTAAATTTAAAAACTACAACAACTTAAATTCAAATCCAACAACAACTTAAATTTAAAAACAACAACTTATATTTAAAAACTACAACTTAAATTTAAAAACGACAAATTAAATTTAAAAACTACAAATAAAATTTAAAAACAACATTAACTTGAATTTAAAAACTACAAAAACTTAAATTTAATATCCATAATCAACATCATCTTCATCATCTGCCATTGTAGGAGTATAGTCAGAGGTAAACAATTGCCGCCGGGTCATAATTTCTTTTTTTTTTCCTATCAAAATAGGCCTTACTCATTGGAGTGTAATTCGAAGTGTTCATTTCCATATTCTTATTATCCATCTCTTCTTGTATTTGTTTGGCCCGTTCTTCATGCCTGCTTTTCCTTTCTTCCGCCTCAAGGGCATTTTGCCCCGCCATTTCTCGCAATAAGGCCGCCACTTCATATTGAGCGGCATAATCATCATTTGCCTTGCCCTTTTCTTTCAACCTTCGCGCCTTGTTTCGTCCCATAGCTTTAGGTATGGAACCTTCACCCGAAGACGAATTTTCTACCCTTGTTTGTTAAATGGTTGGAGATCCATCTTCATCCATATCTGCAACTGAGGATGCAGTTCCGAACACCAGCGTAGGAGCTCTATGTGGTGGATCTTCAAATAACACACACCCTTTACAAATTTCCCAACAACTGTCCGCTTGGCGTACCTAGAAAAAAATTAAAGGAAATTAATTTATGAAATTAAATGTAATATAATTAAATATTTAAAATAAATTGTGAAAACACTTTTTTCGTCGTAGTAATTAGCGCCGTTTTCATGTCTACTTGTGGCTGCTAACAATGCTTGATACCATTTGTTCAAACTTGGCTGAATATGTTTCTTCCATCTTGAAGAACAGCTCTCGTTGTTTTGAATATTCACTGGAGTAGTGCCTTCATAGAACTCTAAGTATTTTTTGGACACACAAGTTCAAACACCATCATTTGTTTGACAATTCCCCCTCTCACTATCTTCCGATACCCATCTATAAGCCTTGCAAATAGCTTCATCTTCTTTTCGGGTCTAAGCCTTATCTTTCATTGTAGACGAGGCCATTTGCAAATTATTGAAAAAATTGAAGGATAGATTTTTGAAAGAGGAAAGAAAATATGAGAATTGAAATGGTGTAGGAAGGGTGAAAATTTTGTGAGGGATGGTGAATGAATGGTTTAAGTATTTATAGGCAAAAAATTAGAATTTTTGAGGAAAAAAAAAAGAATCCAACGTAACAGGCACCAATTAGCCGTTGGATTCAAATTTCTTTTTAAGTATTTTTGTCGATTATAACTTACATGATTAATTTTTTTTTTCTGGCCAGCCCTCCAGCCCTTTGACCCTTTTAGATTCTCCGAGATCTCTGGCCTAGCCTTCAGTTGGAGACGGTTTTTAGACTATTTTCGGCTCTCACCATGAATCCTTCGGTTAGAGATTGGCTAAAAAGAATTATCTGATCCTCTTTCCTTGGATCGGAGATGGCCTAAGGAGTCTTCCAATCACCATTTGTCACCGTAAGTTCCTTGAAGAGCTTACTCTTTCTGGTTGCACAAAGTTTGATGTGTTTCCAAGCATTGAAGAAAATATGGAAGGATTACAAATCCTTCATTTGGATGGGACATCTATCAAAGAGCTTTTCCCCCTCGATTGAACGGCTTCAGGGGCTTGAGGTATTAGATCTGGGAAATTGCAAAAGCCTTGTACATCTTCCCGACACTCTTTGTGAGTTCTCCATCTCGGTGGGTGCACAAATCTTTCTCTATCTCTGTTTATGTCTGAGAAACTAATCTCTGTGTTACTATGTCAGAGAAAATGGGCATACTGACATTTTGACACGTGTACTACACTCCCAAAAAAGAATAATCTTCAGGGTTTTGGGTACACTCTGGCTGTGCTGATAAANACATGAAGAAGCAACAAGCTTCCCATCATGATCACTGCACAGAGCAAACAGCTCATTCCCATGACCGTAAAGTTTGTGTGACTCTGGCCATAGTGTATGCCATGCCAGTTGATCTTCAATGGGAGGTTCAGTCAACACAACTGGAACAGCATCAGGAATGGTTTCAAGTGTGTCGAGGCCATCATTCACATTCTTGTCTGGGGTATGCTGCTCAGCTGACAAAAAGAAACAGAATCAATAAATAAATTAAGCCCGTAAAAACTATTCCTAATTTACAAAACTTGATTAAAGAAAAAAAGGAGAACGATACTTGCAATTAAAACCACATTCAAATTACAAAAGAAAGAAAGGAGAGAGAGAGAGTTACCATGAACATAAATAGGTTTCTGTGATAGCCCAAGAGCAGACATATTTGCACCCAAAATCTGAACACCTACTTGGGAATCATCTGAAAAGTCAGATGTTTGTGAAATGGCATGATCCAATGTCTTCAAGAAAGACAATGGAGCTTCAAACACTCTGGCAACTTTCTCATCAGCTCCGCTGACAAATCGATGGTTCCCCTTTCCTTGGATGATGGCCACACAGTTAATATCATGACCATGACCATGAACTTGAGGCCGAGCAATTTCATGCCAAGACTCCTCGTCTCTAGGAGATGCCTCATTTTTCCAAGGAGCAAAAATTCGAGTTGTCTGATCATGACTGACTGACAGCAAGTATTGACCAGATCTTCCCCATGCAATATCTGCTATTGCTGCAAAATGCCCAGATGGAACCTTTTGTGGTTGCCAATTTTCATACTCAGTGCCGACATTTTTCCAGAGATGGAAAGATCCACCATATCCATGTGCTAATATTGAATCTCCATTAGGGCTCCAGTGGCCACCATAAAACCCTAGAGCACAATGACTGAGTTCTCCAACAGTAACAACATTCATCCAGATACCAGACGTCTTTTTCGGTTTTCCATATCATCATTGTCTTGTCCATAGATGCAGATAAGATGCTTTGGGGTTGACAGTAGGCAATCCCTTCAGAAGATGCATTTGACGGGGGTTGCCACTCCACTGAATACACCCAATCTTCATGTCCAATTAGAAGAGATTCCAATGATATCTGATATATGACGTCGTGCCAGCTATAAGTACAGGGCCTTCAATATAAGATGCTAAGCTTACTTTTACTTTTTCTTTCCGGTAAGCACTCTGGTTGCTGTCCAAAGACTCCTTTAAAGCCATCTTCCATATGCGTATGCCTCTGTCTTGAGATGAACTAACAAGTAGTACGTTGCTTGCCTCACCATTGGTGCACGTAGGTAATGATGCGAAATCCAGACTTCTGATCCAATCTGTATGCCCTTTCAACTCGCACCCTCGAACAAACTACATGTACATATGAAAAGAATTCAAAACATATTTAAGGCACAAAAATGTCTAAAAAAATCAGACAGTAATATTGATTAATATAATGCAACATACCTTTCCTCTCCTCTCTCCCGCTGTAAAGGTGAATTTTGTTATCCAGTCCTCCCATTGCCAGGACTAAAGTGCCAGTACTTCCAGGCAACTCTGATAATGAAAGCGCTACCATGGGTTTTGTACCAACAGAGAGAGAATCCAGATGCAACAGTTCACAGACACCTAGAATAACTCAGAAAAGTCATGTTTCCAATTGATTTTGAAATTCTTTCATTTGATGTGAAGGGAGAACTTTTGGCTCTGTCTTCATTACAAAAACATGATATTTTCGTGCTCGAGAGATGTTCAAAACTTTTTATAATGTTTGTTTCAAATCCATAACATGAACCTAAGTAGATCGATTTAGGGAAGAGTTTGGAGGAATGGTGTTGTCACTTCATGAATTGTCTTTGTACCCCTTCTTTGACTTTGTCAGTAGAATCAAATGTGCAGAACTAAAAGCAAATCAACTTACATATTAAATCTATAAAACTTATGAAAGTAAAACAATTTGATTTAGTCCATTGAACTTTGGGCTCACCTCCACTAGTTGATGGAAACACAACCTCCCATATATAAAACCATACTATCGGAAGACGTAGAGGCAAAGACTGCCTCAGTTTGAGAAACCATAATTCCAGTTATGCATGTGACACCCTTCTTGTGTAACTGAGGTAGTTGTTGCACATACCTCCACTGTAAAGGAAAAGCAAAGAGAATCCATGAAGATAACACATTTCAACAGAAAACAATTCTTTCAAATATACTCGTCACTCAGAGACAAGTCTTCCAAAAACTGAAATAAGTAACGAACCCTCCAACTAGCTAGGAAATAAATGATAGGACCTAAAACTACAACTTCTCACACAGTTTTAACTAGCTATTCGCTACGTTCGTTCGGCAATTCAATGCAACCTACTGTACTGATAAGTTGTGAAGGAAACTTTAAGAAAACACCAAACAAAAAACAATAAGAATTGCGATAACATGAACACCGGTAACGACAAGATTATACCTTTTCCTTCAAGAACAGAGTACTCCCACAAAATAATTTCACCAGCAGCATCTCCAGAGAGCAAATAATGCCGGTCCAACTTTTTTGCTGTGGAAATCCGCAAAATCTTGTCAGCAACCCAAATAACAACTTAAAAAAATGTAAAGTTGAATTCAGAAAACACTAAAAATACTCTTCTTTTTTTTTTCTTCACTTGTTTCTGAGAAGTCCCAAAAGTACCTCTGAATGCAAACTTGTTGCTTGGGAGCCACTGCGTGCAATTCACAGCAGCCTTGTGACCTGGAAGCGTAGTCCAAATTTGAGCAGTCTGCAGCCATTTTTGTAAAAAACGAAAAGAAAATTAGTTTCAATAGAAAACTGAGTTCATAAAGGAGGTACAGAGAGAGAGAGAGAGAGAGAGGACCTCGGGATTGAAGATAGCAACGGCGTTTTGGGCACCGAAAGCGACTAAATCACAAGCACCCCACGAACAGTTGTTGACGATTCTGTTGCAGCCTGCTCCTATGAACACTCCCTTCACTCCAACCCCACGCCCTCCTCCTCGACCATCTCCGCTAGACATGGTGGAAGAACTGGCTCTGGTTTGGCAGACAGACGGCGGCTTCAGCCTTCAGGTGTTGGAGGCTCACGTTCTGCTTTTGCTGGTTCGGCAACACGCGAGAGAAAGGAAGAAAGGAGTGTTTGGGCCGTCGTTAGACGAATGGGGCGAGGCCCAAAATCTAAGACTTACTTCTTGGCCCTAAAAACTATACAGTCAAGATCCATTACACCTAAACATCGATATTCCTGTCTAAAACACTGTTTTAAAAATTCTTGCCTAGCGTTGCTCAGGTCCCCACCTAAGCTATAGGTGGCTGATCATCACTCCAATTAATTACTAGGCGTGTCAAAATTAAGAAAGGTCGTCGAAAACTTATTTAGGAGTCTGCCTAACCTGTCTAAGAGCTCGTGTAGCTCACCTAATGCCATCTCCAATTGACCCGGCCAAAGGGTCATAGGGCTAATAATAGCCCGTTTTGACATGAAAACCTTCTTCAACTGAGGGATTGGCCAAAAGACTCGTGGTCCCCACCCGGCAAAAAATGGGAGAACCAGCCAAAGGGCTGCCCAAGAGCAGCCAACCCGTCAGCCCTATAGCCTAGCCCTCTAGGTCAAAATATCAAGCTTGACATTTTGCCAACCCTCCACCACCAGAATGTCAAGCTTGACATTTTGCCAGTCATCCAACTCAACCCATTTGAATGCTAACGACTACTTGGCATTAGGTTACTGTTGGAATTTGATTTTTTTTTTTTTGAGGAATTTAAAAAAAAAATCTAATTTTTTTTCCTATAAATACCTAAAGCCATTCCTACACCATTTTCACATACTTTTCACCATTTCATACTATCTTACCTCATTTTCTTTCAATTCTTCACATTCTATTCTCTTACATCTTCCAATAATCTTCTATTTAATTTTTTCAATAATCTTCAAATGACCACATCTGCAATGAAAAGAAGAGCTTAGACCCGAAAAGAAGATGAAGTTCTTTGTAGGGCTTATAGATGGGTCTCAGAAGATAATATCAAGGGTAGTTCTCAAACAAGTGAAGGTGTTTGGAAGTGTGTGAATTCTACCCCAATATCTAGCCAATTTATTAACATTGGAAGTTGAAGATAAAAAGTGCCACATAGAATCCTATATGAAATTTGCACAACAAATTATATATCGACTAGTGTCACTCTAAATCATATCCGAAAAATTATTGAGATTACATAAAGATAAGAAATTTGGAGAGTTACTTACGTTAGCGACACGTGTCACTCGAAGTACTGGTTTGGTACTGAGGTACTTTTATAAAAAGTGGATATAAAAAAAAGTTGAGCTAAAAAAGGGTGTTTGATAAACACTTAAAAACAACTTATTTTCATAGTTTTGGATGAAAAAAGGCTGAAATGTGAAGCAGCAAAAATGAGCTTATTTTTATAGCACATCAGAATTTTTTTATTTTTTTTTCAGAGCACAGCAATATCAAATCAGCCTGAAATCCTATCCAAAAAATTATTGAGATTATATAAGAAATCCGGAAGCTTATTCATTTGGCGACAAGTGACACACTCAAAATATGTATGAAATCCTTATTTTAATTAAGTAACCATATTAATCTCTAATAATTAATAAAACACTCATTGTCAACCAAAACCCTATGAAATTACCAGTTTAACCCTCTAATTAAAACAGAACATGAATAAGAAATATGGGGCATAAATGTAATTTCAACAACCAATTTTTGTTTTTTTTTTTCAAAGCCTCACTTACATGTAATCCTAACATATCACTAACTTTAAAAAAAAAAAAAAAAAAAAAAACTTCCCACTCCCACATTCTCTATCACTCTCTTCCTCTCTCCTATTTAAAAAACAAAAATAAAAATTTTCTCACACACACGTGTGCCCATATGCTAGTCAATTTAATTAAAATAATAAATTATATTTGACCTATAATCTTTTGACCCCCTCAGTTGGAGATGATATAAAATATAACTCGAAATTATTTATTAAAATTATAAAATAAAATTTCTTGTAAGAAGCTAAAGAGAGCCTTTTGACCATCTTTCAATTAGAAATGCCCCGCCAGCTGCCTAACACAGCTTTAAGTTTTTACGGAGCATTGCATAGTTGACATCCATCTCGCCTTAACAAATACAATCGAAAACTAACAAATCAAACTGTTAAAAGTTTCCCAATATGTGGACAGATTACTTGCTACATGTTGTGTTGTGATTGCTTCCCTTTACATTTTTCTGCCTATCTTTGTGCACCATTGATAGTGATGCCAGTTTTAGTTGCATGCTCACATAAAATCTGCGAGAAATACACAGATGTCAAGATTTTAAATTCCTTCGCGCACCATTTATTCTGCTAACGAGTTTGATCTTTATGTTTCTTTTGTTGGAAAAATTTGATCTTGAAGTTTGGCACACATGCTTTTGCAGGGAAGATGTATGAGATTGGACCATCTGGAATTAGCAGTCTAAAGGGCCACAACAAGAGGAGGAATAAATAGGAGCCTCAAAGATTTCATCTCCCTCTTCGGAAGAATGTCCCTTGTACCAACTAATGCTAAAGCTGTAGACGCTGGATTTGAATGCTTCTGGTAGTTTCAGGTTAGATTTATACGTTTCTAGTATCCATATATACTGATTGGAGAAGGAAGTTATCGCTGATAGGAACTTAGGAACATGATGATACTCTAGAAACAGAATCCACGTTTGTTTGTTTACTTACCAATGTCCAGAAAGAAGACAACGTCCTTTGTCTTCTTTAGAAACAGAATCATGTTCCTAGAGTATCATCATGTTATGATTCTGTTTCTAGGAACATGATGATACTCTAGAAACAGAATCATCGTTAATTGAATAGGTGCCAACTTCACAATACATGTCGATGTTATATTTCTTAATTTGTAATTTTAGTTAGTAGAATTTGATGAATGATGAGCACATATTTACTACTTATTTTATCTCGAAAATTATATTTTCTTGTGATATGTTGAATTTGGATGAAGGGAATTGCATGTTCTTTGTGTTTTTGTGGCAAGTTTAATGAGATGGAAAAATTCATATTAAAATTCTTTAATTTCTAGTAAAGTTAATCTCGAGAATGTTTTGAATGTCATTGATCTGTTGCTCTAATTATTAAATCATTTGTGTTTTGGCATGTCAAGAGTTGGTCCATGTGCCGTTGGATTATGTGATATGTGATACATCTCTACCATATAAAGGAAGTATGAGACTTTGTGGAGTCATCTGGGTTGTTTGTTTTTGTTGTGGCTTGATCGAGCACGTGGTGGCGGTGAGTGGTTCTGCATATTAGACAGCTCAGGACGGAACGTGTTTAAGTACATGTAACTGAGAAGCCAGGAATTGGAATTTGGTTGGTGGATGCGGGGATGCTCATCCCTCATGCGAATAGCGACATGCATACTTTTTATATAAAGTTGAGACAAAAAGCCGAGAGGCGCTCTGCAGAAATGGTGGTGAATGTTCCTTCAGCTGCAAACAAACACAAAGCCTCGTGCCGAAAACTAATTTGTTGTGCCCTGAAAGCGGAAGGATTCTTCATGCACGAAAACTAAATCCAAACGATACACAGCTCCGAGAAACACTACTTAAGTATCTTGATGGATTCTGGAATGGCGCTCGGCTTTTCGTTCTTAATAGCTATGTCCTAACCAGAAGCAAACAGCATCAACTATTATGCAGCCACCATTCCTCAGAGATGCATCACCTTCACAGTGCTGTGGAAACAAAACCCGAAAACAAAGTTCGAATGCGAAGAACTTAACTCAGTTGCTGGATTTGCTGAAGCTTAAGAGCATCAACATCTATTCTGACCAAGGAAGAAAATATCGGTGATATCGGAAATATCGGTAGTCCGAAAATACGGAAATATCGATGGAAATATCGGTAAAATATCGATATCGATAAAAATTACATGGAAACCACGGAAATTGTAAGAAAAACTTGGAAATTTTTATTGAAACTTTGTAGGATGTTTATTTAGTCAATTATCTATTAGTTTATCACAAAAAATTGGAAGGAAATGCATTGCATGATGGATTTAACATTATCAAGTTGATTATATAGCGATCTGACAAACATTATGAGTGTAGAAAATATGTAGTAATTAATGAAAGAAGTCTAAACACACCATAATCATTTATATATAATGAATTAGTACAATATTTTACACTTTAGTACCACATAGAGTTCCTATGAGGTTCAAATTTGTCACTATCTTCATCATCTCTATGTGTAGAATGAGTGTATTGTGAAGAGTAGTTATCAAATGATAAATCCCCAAAATAGTTTTGCATGTAATTGTTAATATGCCACCCCATATGGATCCGAGATTGGTTGAGGTTGTCCATAAGAAAAATCATTTGAAGATTGAGGCTGGGATTGATTCCATGAGTCGCTCGATTCCATCCCAACAGGAATGGGATATGAAGGGTAGGGAAATGGTTGGTTATGAGTATAACCATAGTTACTACTTCCCAATCCAACAGAGTCTGAAGTTCTAGATAACGAGTCATCTTCTTGACTTGACAAAATCCTTTTGCCTCTTTCTCTGCGAGTATAGTCCTTCCCTATGGCACCAATTCCTGGTCCTGCCCGCCTACTGCCATGGTCATCATCTTGTGTTTGCATGCGTGAAGTTTGCCTCACCAGTGAAGGGGCTCATATATCCGGGAGGTGGTGGTCCATAATAGTTTCCATATCCACCACCACTACCTCCAGCTCCACTACCTCCAGCTCCACTATGTCCTTCATCATTCCCACCTCCGGTGGTAGGTGAGTCTCCTGATCTTGTACTAGAGCTATCATTAGTATCAGCACGATGTTGTGGTTGTGTAGGATTGGAAAAAGGTGGAATTCCAGTGTTGCTTGGTCTTGGGTGCAAAAGTTCTTCGAAAGAGTCAGCGCTGCTAGATCCCCACCTCCTCCTCTAATACTCTTTCTACATTTATCCCTTCATTACGTGCTTCTTCAGCAACTCTGGGAGCTGGGTTGCCTTCATCATCATCTAAATGAAGAGGTCTAATCCATTGAAAAAGTTGGTTACCCTCCGTATCATCATCTTTACCAACAATATCAAACACATCTAGTGGGTCACCACGGTCGACATGATCGATTTCTGCTTCCTTATCTCGAATTTGAAGCTTCATGTTGTAGTAGCAATAAACTAATTTTTCCAAGCTACTATGAGCCAACTTATTTCTTTGCTTTGTGTGGATGAGTGCAAATGTGCTCCAATTTCTTTCACAAGCAGATGAGGAAGCTGTTTGTGATATAATACTTTTATTGCTAACTTTCTCACAGTTGGTGCATCGGTCCCATACATGATCCACCATTCAGCTACAATGAAAAATAATGTTGATAAGCCTAATAACTCCAACAAATTCTATTATAAACTTATAGTGTGAAATATGTTTATACTCACTAGGAGACATATTTGTTCGAGCAGCAACTGATGTTGGTTCTCCAAATGTTCTTCTTGCATCTTTAAACCATGTTAGCTGAATACAATAAATTGTGTTAGTTTAATCCAACAAAGTAATTATTATAATTTAAGTAATTGTGTACCTCATTTCCAAATTGGCCAACTGCTGGTGATGCAGGGTCTAATTTAGAGTATACATTATGTACAGCACGTATAAGGTTACCATCATCTCCAACACCGGGTCTGTATTGGTATCGGGGATTCAAATAATATGCTGTTCAAAGAAACACATACTCTAATAAGATAAATAATACTTATGCAACTAAAGAAATGAATTGCAAATTATGACATAATTTATACCTGCTGCATGCAAATCGTGGTATAATGTTTTATATCATCGGTCTTCAATTATTTTTACGACCCACCTTGCACCATGTTTTCTTTCCAATTCATCCTTCACTACACGCATCAACTCATATACAGCCCCCCATAGTAGGATACACTTCTGTGTCAACGATCCGTAAAACTTTGTAAAGAGGTTCAAACACTTGACACACATGTTCTGTTTGACTCCAAAAAGCATGATCAAGCACTATACTTTCCACCATACGACCTGTATTTGAGCGGCTGAAATTGTGGTTGGCCCAATCGTCACTAGTGAATAGTTGCTTCAACCCTGCTTTCTTCTTGAGTAGGCTGTTTAATGCAATATAGTTGGTGGCGAATCGAGTGGTAGCTGGACGAATAATTTCTCCTCTGCAAAATTCACGCATCTTTGCCAACAACCAACCGTGATTGTAAATATAATTAGTGATCGTTCTAGCTCTTTTGACCACAGTAGCAACATTCTCTCTCTTCCCCATTGCCTCAAACATAAGATCAATACAATGTGCTGCACATGATGTCCAAAGCACATTATGATGCTTCATTAACTTTTTTTCCAGCTTTGACAAATGCAGAACCGTTGTCGGTCACGACTTGGACAACATTATGCTCTCCCACCTCCATGATTACATCCCTCAATAATTTGTAAATATACTTGTAATTCTTTTATATGGTCTGAAGCATCAACAGACTTCAAAAAAATTGTCTTGCCCTTGGAGTATACCATGAAGTTGATGATAGATAATCTGGTCGGGCCGGTCCATCCGTCACACATGATTGTGCAACCATTAGTTTCCCACTTTGACCTCAACTTGTTAACATACTCGCCAATGTCTTTATACTCCATATCCAAATATTTGTTTCTTATCTCATAGGGAGTGGGAGGTTGTACTCCAACACCCGGCCTGTTGACATCCCACTACCATATTTTTGAAATGATGTGATGAAGCCTTCGCAGCAGGGACATTTTCATAGATAAAGAACTTGCTAATTAGACGCCCCATTCCCTCCTTCACATTACCTCCCTTGAAATAACTCCAAACACTCTTTTGACGTGCGTTGGATGACTTATATAAACTTGGGGCTATTGGTGGTGTTGGTTGTGATTCTCTAAGACTGCCTCCCCGTCTCATTTGTGCACCACCACTTGTCCCGGAACCTTGTCCCCTATTAGGAATTTTATGAAGGTGTTCTCTTTCCCATGCTGACTGTTTGGAGGCACGTAATGCTTGTTTCAAAACTGCGTCGTTCTTCAGGTCCCATGTCATCATCACATTCGTCCTCATCGTTATCATCATCACTGTCAACCGCTTGGCCATAGACTTCTCCCCGTAGCCCAGCTCGAATATTTTTCCATTCCTTGTGTCATCTTTTCCTTCTGCTGTTTTTTATTTTTTAATAATGTGCTGATGAATGCCTTCACTTCTGGGGGGACATTATCGCATCGTTGGACATTTTTTTGCTGGATCTAATCCACTAAGATGGTACTTAAGTCGTGTCACTCCACCACTCTTCATTACCCGACCACAATATTTGCAAATTGTGCCATGTTTGTTTCCGTCTATTGGGTCGCCATGTTCCCAAGCTGGATCACGTTTACTAGCTCCACTAGACATCTTAAACGTACCTACATTTATTTTTCATGAAAATTAGACAAAAGAATTAAATAATAAAGTTATTATACAGAACCTAAATAATAAAGTTATTCTACAGAAGAATACAATATGAAGTAAAGAAAATGATTGTAAAAATTTAAGTAATTAAAAAATTAATATGGAATAATAAAACCTAATATTAATGAATAATAATCCAATTTGATAAAAAAATAATCCTAATATAAATGATGAATAATATTCCTTTTTGATAATAATCCTAATATAAATAATCCTACTATAAATGATGATAATTATGTTTCATGAAAATAATCCTAATATAAAACATAGTGAAGAATAATATTCCTTTTTTATAATAATCCAATTTAATAATAATCCACTTTAATAATAATTCAATTTAATGAATAATCCAATTTGATAATTAAAAAAACCTAATATTAATGAATAATCCAATTTGATAATAAAAAAAACCTAATATTAAAGAATAAAATTGAATAATTCGTTTTTTTTTTCCTAAGTTTTGGACCTTTTGGTTCAACCCAACCCAACCCAAGTGTGGTTATGTTTGAGATTTGGGCCTAGGGTCAAGTTTGGAGACTACATTGAGTGGGCTTTAATGAATAGTCCAATTTGATAATAAGCCAATTTAATGAATAATCCAATTTAATGAATAATAATCTAATTTAATGAATAATAATCCAATTTGATAATAAAAAAACCTAATATTAATGAAGAATAATCCTATTTGATAATAAATAATATATTAAATAAATAATAACATTAAACATATTAAAATCATCGTAGGGAATAATTATACAACATTACTTAATTACTTACAAAAAATTAACAAGTAATTGTTAACATTACTTAACTACTTACAAAAATTAACATGCAAGTATTAATTACTTAAAAAAATTAACATACGAGTCCACACAAATTTATTTGTTGTTGTATAAATTACAATAATATAAATATAAGTTTGTAAACTTACCTTAAATATGGAACCCTTTGTGTTCAAGCTTTGGAATGGATCTGGAATGGCTTTGAAAATGGTAAGGGAAATAAAATAATAAATAACATTAAACATATTAAAATTATCCTAGGGAATAATTATACAACATTACTTAATTACTTAAAAAAAATTAACATGTAATTGTTAACAATACTTAATTACTTACAAAAACAAACATGCAAGTATTAATTACTTAAAAAAAATTAACATGCAATTGTTAACATTACTTAATTACTTACAAAAACTAACATGCAAGTATTAACATTACTTAATTACTTACAAAAACTAACATGCAAGTATTAATTACTTAAAAAAAATTAACATGTAATTGTTAACATTACTTAATTACTTACAAAAACTAACATGCAAGTATTAACATTACTTAATTACTTAAAAAAATTAACATGCAATTGTTAACATTACTTAATTACTTACAAAAACTAACATGCAAGTATTAATTACTTAAAAAATTTACATACGAGTTCACACAAATTTTTTTGTTGTTGTTTAAATTATAAGAATATAAATATAAGTTTGTAAACTTACTTTAAATATGGAACCCTTTGTGTTTAAGCTCTGG